TAATGTCAGGAAATAAACTGCACAGGCAGCCTCTTGCCAGTTGGGAATGGGCCTTGGGCATCGAGCCAGGAAATTTACATCATCTGTACAAGTATGAAGAGCGATTGATAGGTTTTCTCTTAAGGACTTTTAAATTATAACATTGATCATACTTATAGAAAATATGAAACACCTAGAAATGCATAAAGCAGAAAATAACAATCACCTTTAATCTAATTACCCAGAACTCACCACTGTTACAACTTTAGGGTAATTTGTCCTTTTCTTCTATGCATATTCTTACATAGTTCTATGCACATCCCTCCTTCGCACTTAACATTATAACATACATGTTTAATGTTTTTGAAATTTTGTAAATATTTTAATGAAAGCATAAAATTCTATCATATGGATACCATATAATTGATTTAACTATTTTCATACAGATAGGAATAGGGGAGAGAAGATTTCACTACGGGCATACCTCGGAGATATGGTGGGTTAAGTTCCAGACAGCCAAAGTAAAGCAAGTATTGCAATAAAGCAAGTGCAATCTTTTTGTTGGTGGAAGGTCTTGCCTTCAATTTGTAAAAAAAGGCAGTAAAGCAAAGCACAATGAAACAAGGTATGTCTGTATTACAATTGATGCTACAGTGTTCACATTTGTATGAACTTAGATTCTGTCAATGATTTCTTGTGATCAGTATCAAGAACAAAATGAATGAATCAGCTGTATGAAAGTTTCTTCCCAACAAGTTTTCTGCCAGCTTCCACTCATCACAGGTGTGAAAAACTGCACATTTCATCTTCTCTTCACAGCACTTGTGGTTATGACTGAAGGATTTGGGGTGTGGGCACAACACAAGCAGATTTGCATTTATAAAGTTGCATACTGGAGACTGAATCAAGTGGGACAAATCAGAAATGTTATTGTCCTTACTGTCCCTCCTTTGCTTCCACATTTTCCCCTTTCCATTTCCCTGTTCACCATTTTTCTTTCTCAGAGAGTGCATATTAATTGTTCATTGCACTCAAGCACTTCGTAAGGCTTTGTAACCAAGAACAGAGCTGAGAGGCCTCACTCTACAGTCACTACAAGCTTGTGCACAGCCCACAGACCCTTTTTTTATAGTTTTGTCAAAAAAAATCTCTTGCCTGGTCAGTGTGGCTCAGTGGTTGAGCGTTGACCTGTGAACCAGGAGGCAGAGAGGTTCATTTCTATGCATGGGTTGCAAGTTCGGTCCCTAGCGGGTGTGCAGGAGGCAGCTGATCAGTGATTCTCATCATTGATGTTTCTATCTCTCTCTCCCTCTGCTTTCCTCTCTGAAATCAATAAAAATATATATTTTTAAAACCTCTGGACAGTACTTCTCCTTCGGTATAAATATATATGAAAGCCTAAGTGACCATTACAACCAAACAACTGGAACAACCAGTTGACCAGTCGCTATGACACGAACAAAGCTGCCCCCTGTGAGCTCTCACAGGGGGAGCACTGCCCAGCCAGAAGCCAGGTTCATGGCTAGCAAGCACAGCTGCAGCAGGGGGAGCCTCTCCCAACTCCACAGCAGCACCAAGATGAGCTTGAGCGGCACCGGCCTGGCTTGGTCTCCTCCCTGGCTGCCTTGCAGCTTGGCGCACTGCTGCATCCCCCTAGGGGTCCTGGATTGTGGGAGGGCACAGGCCAGGCTGTAGGACCCTCCCTGAACAAATCCATGCACCAGTCCTCTAGTTTTTTATATTCTCCAGTAAAACTGCCAAGTGGGTTTATTGCTAAATGAATTTCTCTCTTCATCCTGTGATTATCCAATACTACATATGATCATCCCTGTCCCTGGAATGTTTTTCCTCTTTCTTAATCCAGCAAATTGCCTTGGTAGTCATCCTTCAAGACCTTCCTTAAGTGCCCCTGACACCTTCCTTCCAACCTTGACCAGTCAGAATCAGCTACTCAGGCTTCCTTACTCCTATAGTTCAAGTACAGCATTTTCTATACCTAACACTTTTCTCCCTCTTGGCTAAAAAAAAAATCCTTCCAAACTAAAATATTTTGTACCCCACTTCTTAACAGAGTGCCTGATACTTGGTTGCTACTCAGTAACTGTTGAATGAATAAATGAGTAAGTAAGTTAATTCCTGTTTTACTAAGGTGCATAGACATTTCATCTTAAATACTAATGAGTTGGTAAGTATAAAGACAATATGGAGCCGATGTGAATTGCTAAAAGCACACTCTGAATCATTGGTACCTAAGGTAAAACAGACACCTGGTATACCAGATGTTCTAATCCTGGGTTCTAAGTTCTAAACATTTAATTGTTCTGTGTGCCTGGACATTGATTTTCATTCTGTTTAATTTTAAAAGCAAATTTAATTTGGGTGTAAGTGTCTCTGTGCTAGAAACAGTAAAGGGAATTCAGTGATGCCAGTATTTCCAAAGTGTGTTCCTAAGAAAACTACCATGGACTGTTCATGGGCATCACACAAAAGAATAGCCTGTGGTCCCATATGTTTTGGGAAACAGAGATAAATAGGTTTCTTTACCTCAGAACTTCCTGGTAGCCATTGTAGGAAGTTGTAAGAAAAATCAGTTAAGAAATGGTAAAGTGATAGAAGAGCAGTCAGCTTTCCTTCAGTGGTAGATAGGAGTCATCCTAGCCCCTCTATGCTAGGGAAGATTCAGAATACAAATTCAAAGGCAGAATAGCAAAAAGTGTACTGAGAGCCTAGCTCCTACATTTATCTCCTCAGTTCCACATTTGTGCAAGCCCCTGCCCCCCACACACCCACCACGCTGATGAGATCAGCCTTCATTACTTCTCTTCTAGAGCCAAGAAGCAAGGTAATGTGTGGGAAGTGATAACTGTAAGGTAATGTGTGGGAAGTGATAACAACTCTAGAGTTAAAGCCATTCAACAGGAAAATTTGTTAAAAGACCAAGACATGGTAAAAACTGAAACACTTGAGTCCATTAAGTCCTCTGCTTCTTAGAACATCTTGTTACCAGGGAATGTTTCAAGGAGGGAAAAACATTGAACTATCCCACAGCTCTGTCAGATACCAAAGCCTGGTACAAAGAACAACATTTTATAAGATATCTGTCCCTCTGCCACTAGAAAAATTTTAAAAAGTTCTGCTTCTCTTCCTTTCTTCTACCCCAATATAACTCCTCCACCTCTTCACACTGTATATCTGTATATACTTCTCTCCTCCCTCCTTTTCCTTTTCCTCCTCCATGGAATGAAAGACATTAGGAGACATGGCCCTTTGCAAGATCTCTCTCTCTCTCTCTCTCTCTCTCTCTCTCTCTCTCTCTCTCTCTCTGTCACATAACCCATGTTGATTTCACTGACAGTGTTAAAATGACACAGTAAGCTAAGATTACCAATGGTTATTTAATGCTCTTTGGTAAGAAGGGAACTAATTAAGTGACTAGAGGTTTAGACATGTGTTGTTTATTGGAAGTAAACTCCTTAAGAGAGCCTGAAGCATTCGCCTAAGCAAACATTGCCCTTCATGACTTCTTGTTCCAAGTCCAAATGAGATGGAGATGAGATGGAGACTTTAAGGAGATAGTATCTTTTCATAGGAGAGAGAGAGAGAGAGAGAGAGAGAGAGAGAGAGAGAGAGAGAGAGATACCAGAGGAGAGTGGGAGTGCCATGAAAGCCTTAGCTAGGTACTTCAGTTGGAGCATCCTCCAAATGCACTGGGGTTGCAGATTGGGTCCCCCATCAGGGTGCATTTAAAGAGAGAGAGAGAGAGAGATAACAGAGGAGAGTGGGAGTGCCATGAATGTAGAGGGGGACGCTATATACCTGTTACAGAAAGACTAAAGCAATTTGTGTATCTGTTGGCAGTTGATATTCATCAATGATTACCAGTAGGTTAAACATTAGCAATGTTGACACATTTGTGGTCAGTGCAATGGTTTGTTTAACTGTCTTCACTACAAATACATCCTTCAAGAGAATGTTTTTTAAACAATAGTCTTTTAAACAAAACAAAAGTAAAAACAACCCCAAATATCTGCTTGCCAATGCTAATAAACATTATTGCAATATTTCAGGAGGTTCCTTAGAAGACAGAAGCCATCTGTTAAGTAAACAAAAAAATTAACATAGACACCATTTTTTAGTTTGTGGATATTAACAGGATGTTAGTGATTAGCTACAACCTATGAAAAAAAGTGCCTTTGCTGTAGTAGGCAAAAGAATGGAAGCTTTTAAAGAGTCTGCATTTTTATTTTGTTTCTGTTTTAAATAAATAAAAGTTGTGTTGTAAAAGTGAGACTTGGGCCCAACATCAAATCTTAAGACTTCCATTGCTTTCACAATAAATTGAGCAGGCACAATCTAAGCCTCAGGAACTTGAAAAAAGGACCTCTTCCAGGTGTCAAATCAGAAGTTACTGCCACTGTGGGAGGTTGTCGATATTATGTGACTCTGAGCCTGACACTAATATTTCCTGTTCCTCTTCTTCTACTGTGGACCCAGAATAATCTGGTGTAGGTAAAATATTCTTTTCCTTGGCTCAGCTTAGGCACCTGGTGTCCTGAAAGAGGTCACTGATTTCCCCAAGGATGTCCAAGGAGGTTGGCTCACCACTGGCTTACCATAGGCCAAAATTGAGGTTAATTAACCATCAGTCATCATCAGTAGGGCCAAGATGTTATTCAGACATTCAGAGAAGAGAAACTTGATCCGGCTATGAATAATGGTCTTCATCAACATTCCTTCCTATATTAATCCCAATCCAATGTCTTTCTAGCTTGAAAATAACTTCAGAAATAGCTCAGTTCATCTTTAATGTTATTCCACATCAACACCTTTTTCACTATAACTGGGTTTCTGTTCATGAAAAGGTACATTTAATGGCCTTTGAAGAAATTTTCTATTCAGAATGAGTATGAAAATGCTGTGTGGTGGGAGATGAAGAGATATTGACAGATCTGGGTTGGCCAAAACCTGCCTGAGGAACACAGAGATGTATATGTACTGCTTTTGCTTTTCTCACTCTGCAGACCTCAGTGACCAGCTTCTTGAAGTGGTGGGACTAGAAGGAGCCATGGAAATGGGGCAGATCTACACTGGTCTGAAGAGTGCAGGCAGGAGGCTGGCCCAGTGCTCCTCTGTCACCATCAGGTATGCTTCCACATTACCCAGCATCCTCCAAGTTTCCCTATTTGTTCCTAGATTTAAGTTCAGGAAGCATGGGGGTTGAGAGGCAGAAGCTTGATAACATTTATAAAGAATGTCTTTCTTTGGAGACCATTTCCCAAAGTAGATATAATGCAGCCACCCAGGACATAAACTAGAGGGTCCACCACAACCAATTTGCTGTTGTCTTAGAATGAATTGATGAAATTCTCTAAGCAGGAGTATAAGACTCCTTGCCTTTTTATATTTACAAATTAAAATGTTAGCTGTATGTCGGAGGGCACACTCTGACAAAAAGCAGGCTTTCTGCTCTGCTCTTTCTTGGATAGTGGCCTTAGAAACACTATTTTCTATATGCCTTTGTAGAGCTAAACCATCAACATCAGGAAACCCATTATAATTGACTAAGAGGATGATGGTTCTTCAGGGTACGGACCATCAGGCCAGCCACTGCGGGCGCCTAGAAGAGAAGGAGTCTAAAGGAGGGGATCCTGTGATTTGGATTGCTTCTGTTCAATCAGTGCAACTAATCAGCTTCTCCACCTGATTATTTCAGAAGTCTTTGTTCCTTTGCTTTTTCCATTCAATTTCTGCGGATAAAATCTATTAGTGTGCCTTGGGGACCTCCTAGAGGGGACCACAGCATGCAGGTTTCCCAAAGATATTTGACCACAGAATCCTTGTCTCCAAGAACCTCTTGGGCAAGTGTCCTCAGAGCACATTTGTGGAAGCCCTGCTCTTGACACTCCCTGCATGCCTCCGAATGGCCCCCTGAAATTGTTCCTTGATGTCTCTTAGCTGAAGGTCTATCTCATGAAACTCTTTTCTTCATTCTGTCCCTGTGTCTTCTCTGTCTTTTCTGTTATTTCCCCAAAGCTTTGCTCCTTTTTCTCTCTGGGCTGTTGCTGTGCTGGGTCTTCTGCTTTCCAGATAAATCTCTTCCTTCCCTGTCCAGTCACCATGACTCTAGTATTGGGTAGGTCCAATCAGCACATCTAAGCTATAACTTACGTAGACCACAAAGACTGTAACATCTTAATCCTGGAAGAATTTTTAAAAATCCATGTAAAAGAAGGAGGAATTTCTCTTTATATTCATTAGACTATTTTGAGATAGAAACAGAGTGGGTGAACCAGTAGCTCCATCCTCCTGGGCATTTTCCAGATTCTCTCCTCAGTCCCCAAAACAAAAATCCACTCTCTCCTCTTATTACTTGTTTGACTATTAGATTTATTGTTGTTCTTGTTGTTGTTTTAAATATCCTCAGGGTCAGTCAGAGAATGATCAAATTAAAACACAACTTGCCTCCCACATTTTATAGTTTCAAAAACAGGGCAGTTATCAGGTGAGGGCTTCCTGTCCAGAGGGTAGCAACTGTCCCCTGCTCACCCAGACCAGAGACCTCTGGGAGGACCTGCCTTTTCTCCCAAAGGTGAGGTAGTATGAATTCACAACTCTTTAACAGAAGAAAGATCGAAGACCTCGTCTCTCTCCTTTTAACAATCCACTTGCCAGAGAAGCTTTGTCCCAAACAAAAAAGCAACACTGTCTCCTCTCCTCTCTTCCTACCAATGGGGACAATGTTCCCAATGACCCCATTTCCCAGCTAAGCCTGGTCCACAGTTCATGCAACCAGATAAAAGAAGGGATGGTTAGGATCAGAGGCAAGACAAGACACACTCATATCTGAGCTGTACCTTGTACAAGTTGGAGACATTATATCATTGACACAGTGCAACTTCTCACTCAGCATAGAAACCAGGCCTTTTCCCATTTCATAACCTTTCCCATTTCAGTGAAGTTTTTGACACCATCTGCAGGCCCTCTGCCTGATTGTTTGAGGGTCTGTTCAGCGGTTATGCTGCCATGCTTTGTTAGCCACTGTTTCCCAGGCTTCTGTGGACTTCACTGCTCACCCAGGGCAGTGTTTCTCAAAGTAGGGTCTGAAGACCAAAACAACAAAATCACCCATAGTACTCATCAAAATGCAATCTCCTGGACCTGGAAAGTCAATATCCTTGATGTGGGCCTGGGAATTTTTTTTTAATAACCCCCGCTCCCCAAGACAGTCTTAGAGAACCACTCCTATGTGGGCAGATAAGGACTTCCCACTTCAGTTTCCCTGGTGGGGACAACCCTGATTCTCTGACGCAAAGAAGCTCACTGTGTTATCTTGGTTTTCCGGGGTTTCAGGACAAACAAGCTGCTGCCGATGCAAGTGGATGGAGAGCCCTGGATGCAGCCACCTTGCATGGTAAGTTTTCCTGGTCTTCGAGGTGAGGATGAGAAGCTTTATTTTGGGTCTTTTGGGTGCACTGACCTAATATGAAATCACTGAATCTCAGAGTTGCACAGGCTTTGAGAAATCATCCTCTCTTTCACTTTGTTCATCCATCCATTCATTTACCTGCCAAGCTTTTATTGAATACCTGCTATGTTTCAGGCACTTGTGAGGCATCAGTTCCAAAAGTCACGAATGAAAGCTCACGATTCTTCTGAGACTTCGTTTATACTATCCTTGAGAGCCTCAACTTGAATCATTCCAGTGGCAGGGAATTTACCACATCAAAAGAAAGACTGTTCTGCTAATGAACAAGTCTAATTGTTAGAAAGTGCTTCTTTATGTTGAAGTCAAATCTGCACACTTAACCTAGAACTTCCAACAAGTCCTCCATGGGAGCTCCTGGGGGGGAGAGGGGGGAGAATTCCCACAGTGCATGGACACACTCGTCATGAGTTCACCACAGCCTTGAGGACCTGTATGAGAACTCCACTGAAAGAGTAACCACATGAGTTATCTATTTTGGTTATGGTGTTCACCTAGCACTTAACACTTTGCCTGGTTTTCTACTAGTTGCGCAATAATGTTTGTTGAACAGTGGACAAAGGACTGAACAACTGAACAAACAAAAACAAAGAGGACATCTTCATTCCCTTTATACTATGTTAGCTCTCCACTTAGCTATAGGAGCCAGGCAGCCTTTCTCTTAGTTTCTTCTCTGCTGAAACCCAGCTAGAAACTCTATGGTGAAGAGAAACCACTGTCTTGGTGTTCGGGACCCATGGTCTTCATGAGATATTACATTAATAATATCCTCTATACCAGTGATGGCGAACCTATGACACGCATGTCAGAGGTCACAAGTGAACTCATTTTTTTGGTTGATTCTTTTTTTGTTAAATGGCATTTAAATATATAAAATAAATATAAAAAATATAAATCTTTGTTTTACTATGGTTGCAAATATCAAAAATTTCTATATGTGACACGGCACCAGAGTTAAGTTAGGGTTTTTCAAAATGCTGACACACTGAACTCAAAAGGTTCGCCATCACTGCTCTATACTATCATGAGACAAATCTCAGAAGACAAAAGTAATATTTCTAAGCTTTCTCACTCTGGTAAGTATTCAGATGCCTCAATAACCTGATGTTTTGAGCCCTTCGGAACATCAAGTGGTCTTCCACTAGAAAAAGGGTTTTCATGAAATTTCATGCATCACAGCACAAAAGAACTTTTGATAAAAACTGAAGCCAGTTAAATTAAAATGAAGTTTTAAAAAAAACGGTTAAACACAGTTATACAAATAAATGCAAATGGATCATTCTTTGCAAGAGAAGATACATAATGGAAGCATTAGTAACATGGATCCCAAACCTAAATTTCTATTAAACAATGCTGAAAGCATTTAGGAGACATTGTTGAAGGAATAATAAAGATATGTTAAATTTTTCATTGTATTTTTTCATTTTGGCAATTTAAAAGAGTTTCTCAGAAGAAAATTTTACTAACTAAATAATCCTTTAGTGAAACTAAAAACAGGGCACACACTTTTCAAATCTGGGAGAATTTAAAATTTATGAACCTTATCAATGTAGCAAAAACAGAAAGCAAATAATAAGCAAACATTAACAATTTTTTTGAAGTATAATGAAAGAGGTTGAGACTAAATACATCAATAATGACAAAAATATATGTTAAAGTCTCCTAACAAAAGGGGATTAGAAATTAAAATTTAATGTTATGCTTATAAGAGATATACCTAAAACAAAAGGATATATATATATATATACTTATTTGTCATATCTTTTTTTAGACATAGAGAAATTAACAGTAATAAATGTTATTGTTAATTATATTAATTTTAGACAAACTAATTTGCCAATATGCCAAAAACACAAAATAGAATAAAGAAGGTCACTTTTATTCGATAAAAAGTAGAGTCAAGTATGAGATATAATGTAATGATCATAAAATTTTAGGTATCTAATAATAGAACCAAAATATATAACGTGAGAAATAATATCAATATATATTCTGAAGAAAAAAAATGACAGATAAAAAAAAATTGACAGAAAGACCAATATTGAGAGGCTTTAAAATATTTGTTTTTGCCTTAAAAAAGTAAATAAATAAGTGACATAAAACTTGGATTAAATAACTTGATAGCCTATAAACAAATTAAATGTCTCCATTTTTTCAAGGACCCACAGAATATTTACTAAAATAGATCATAAACAAATTTACCAAAAAATCTATATAAAATTCAGAAACAAAAATTATAAGGTTTATTTTCTTTAACTACAAAGCAATAAAACTAGAAATTAATAATAGAGGATTAAATAAATAAGCAAACAAAATTTAATTATTCAGTGATTTTAAATTTTTCTAAAGAACAGTAGATTCAAGAGATTAAAACCACCATTATTGACTTAGAAAAATAAAAATAAAGGCTCTCATTCAAAACTTATAGAATATAGCTTAAACCATATTTGGAGGTATGTTCAGAGACCCATATACATCTATCATTCAAAAGAGGGGGGAGAAAAGTAATGAATAATTCCAAAATTATAAGAATAAAACAAAATAGGAGAGGCAGAAGGAAGAAAATAATAAAAATAAAATAGAAATTAAACAATTTAAAAACAGGAAAATCTAAAACTAGTTCTTTAAACATGTCAAATATTTGAAAACCTAATTTCAAAAAGAGAAAACCAATGATCATAGTTATTAAAATGTAAAAATATATAATAATTGCAATAAAAATATAAATGCAGTAATGGTTTTATTTAATTACTAGAGGCCTGATGCACAAAATTCGTGCAAGGGGCACGGCCCTCGCAACCCCAGCTTCATCCGGAAGGATGTCCGGAAGGACGTTCGGCTGTCTGGTCTAATTAGCATATTACCCTTTTATTATTATAGATAACACATTACATAATATGAGAGATATAAAAATAGATGAAAACTTAAAGATTTAACAAATATTTTTTAAAAGGTTTGAATTTAGGAACTTGTTTCTAAATAGAGATCCCAAACAAAATCTTATGGCAATTTATTTTTAACTTTAAAAATAAAAACAAAAAACCAATGCAATAGTGAAGGCATTTAATGAAAGAACTATGAGGAAGGGCTCCCCACAAGATATTAAAACAGCTATAAAGCCACTGTAGTTGGCACAATATTGTATAGATAAATCAACTGTACAGAAGAGGCCCTAAGAAACCCTAGTACATAAAAACTAATGAAGAAAAAAAAAAAAGGAAGATCATAAACTAATTTAAAGGCAATGAACTGTTTAACATACACTAGCCAAAAAATTGCCTGACTGGGAAAATGTCATTATATATCAACTTCTCAACTCTATACTCCAGAAACAAAACAGGAAAACTCTAATTCTATTAAAGAATTAAATGTTACTAGCTGGGGGGAAATATAGGTGACTATCATCACACTATGAGCAAGGACTTTTTAAAGAGGAAAACATGACATATTGGACTATTAACAAGTTTAAAACTCTACAAATCAAGAATCAATATAGATCTTTAAAAGGCTAAAGACAAGATGTTTGCAATAGCTATCTCAATGAGCAGGTTAATTCTCATAATGTATAATGATCTCTTAGAAACCAGCAGGAGAAAATACTAGGAATGCAGCTGTGAACAGACAATTCACAGAAGAAATGCCATGAGCTAATAAACCTGTGAAATAATATTTAATATAACAAATTAAGAAAAAGGAGGAGAAAGAATTTCAAGTTAAAATGGTGAGAAAGCCCTGCCATGTTTCACTTACCAAATTAGCACAATTTGCTTTTCTTTTTAAAATAATATTCATTGTTGTCAAGGGTGTGGCGAGTCAGGCACATTCAACCAATGAGGCCAGAGTATAAACGGGTACAGCTGCGCTGGGAAGCATTTGGAGCCATGTATCAAGAAGATCCTTGCAAATATTAAATCCAGTTCATTTACTCTGACCCTTAAAATTGTTCATATACTTCTAGGTATTTATTCTAAGTAAAATGCAAGTTTCCAGAAATAAAGAAACCAGTGTTTAAAAATGCCTATATTATTCATAATAGTAAAAAAAAAAAATTGGAAATTACCTAAAAGCCCAACATTTAGGGAAATGGTTAGATAAGCTATGTGAACGTCATCAAATGGAATAATTTTCAGCCACTGGAAATTATATAATGAATTTTTAATGATATCAGAAATGCTTTCAGAATAACGTTCAATGGAAATAGCTGATTTCAATTTTATTAAAAATATATAAGCACAGAAACAAACTGGAAAAAAATATACCAAAAAGTTAACAGCAATTACTTCTAGGTGATTTTTAAATTTTTTCCATAACTTCTAAATTCTTAAAAATGGGGATATATTTGTTTACACATAAAGATTTTTGTGTATAAAATAGTCATAATTTAAAGACTTGCCTTGTGCTTGCAGCACTGTAAGATGGCCTCTCATGCTTTACCACCAGTTAGGTGGCATCATTTGAGCTTGGAAATTAAGAACCTTCTCCCAGAGTTCGATAATAGTACTAGTAAGATCTCAAAGTTGAAAGGGATTCTACTAGTCCAGTAATTCCCAAACTTGAGTATATGTTCAAATAACCTGGAGGGCTTTCAAAACAAAGATTGCTGGATTTGTTATTCAGTAGGTCGGGATGCCTTAAGAATTTGCATTTCTGACAAGTTTCCAGGAAATACTGATACTGCTGGTCTAGGGACCACACTTTGAAAACCAATAATCTAGTTGAACTTCCGGACCTATCAATAAATCCCAGACTTCTCCATCCCTAGTAAAACCTGATTGTCCAGCTACATTTGAAAGCCTCTGATGGCAGGAAACACTCTGATGAAGCTGGGCCTCCTAAAATGTTGGAGAACCCAGAAATAGCTAAGATCTGGAAAACTGCAAACCCCCTCTCTCCTCCTCAAGGCTCACTTTAAGCAGGAATATTTCCTTGACTTTTTAAAAAATCAAATTGAGACCTTTCAAGTTTGTGCCTTTCTATTTATTTCCAACTGAAATTAGGGCAGACTTGGATACTTCCCAAATGATCAGGGAAGGGTCCACTCTTACAGTTATTGGCCATTTTGCTGGGCATGATTTGAATTATTTGCCCTGAGAGGGCAACGTTGAGGAGTCTCTCAGTTTATTGCTTCTCTTGAAGTAATAAAAATGTGTTGATTTCCAGAAGATGGCCCCCAAAACAAAGTCAACTCCCAGCACTAGTGAAATTTTAAAATTTACTCCTTTCAATGGGGAATTATATGCTGCAGTAGTTTTGTGAATTTCAAGCTATCACAAGAGCCCTCTATATCACTTATCTCTATAATAGAGCAGAGAACTAGGAACATGGGGCTGCTGTCCCTAGTGCTTGTCAGATGTAAGTATTATGAAAGGTGTTTAAGAAATTATAGAGGCTTTAGTTAATTGCCTGACCTGCCCAATTTCCAGAGAAACTTTAGTTCTAACTACAGAAACATGAATGCTCTCTTTCCATCAGGGGTCAAAAAGTCAGGTTTAGCCACATCCAACTACCTTCTAAAATGAGATCTTTGCTATTTAACTTCACCAACCCCCTCCTAATTTGGGTATAAAGGGGTAAGAGACTAACATCTCTTTGACTCCAAAAGAGGATATGAACTCATATTTCTTGTTTTTAGTGCATATACATACAGTCAACTCTCAGTTATCTACAGTACTTGAATCCACAAACCACATCAAAATCTCATGTTACCCAGGGTCTCCAAACTCCTACCCAATCAAGACCTTCATCAAAACTGCTGAAAAACCAAATGAGAGGGATTTGAGTTTCACTTCCTTCTCTTCGCCCTGGAAGTGCTAACCAGCAAGCAAATAGCTCAGCTAGACAGCGAAAAAGGAGAAGCCAGGGTCTTCTATCATCTGGAAAAAAAATGGGCTCCATCCGTGGGAAATTGTAGGCAGTGCCAGTTGCCACTCTGCCTCAAGCATAGCCACCACCACTGCCATGATGTTCTCTCTCTCTTCTTGCTGTTCTAATCGGTCAGTACTTCCACAGCATGTCCTCTGAATAGGCACTGCACTTGCTCCGGGAATACCAAGGTGAGTAAGATGAAGTTCTTCCCCTCAGGGGACTTGTATGCTCAGGCAGTAAGAGACAGCTTACCACAAGGAAATGTGCAAATTGCTGTCATCAGAGAGAGCAAAATTACATGCCACAGAGAAGTGCTGTCAGAGTCCCCAGTCTATGCCTCACTTCCATAAATTCTGGAATAACCATAATGCCCATAATAAGGCACATAACACAAAATGTTGCTTGAAGTGTTCTTGATTTGTTCCTCTGGTGACTACCACAAAACAGAAAGATGGACTCCCCTTCCAAATCTCCAGACTCTAGAGCAGTGATTCTCAACCTTCCTAATGCCATGACCCTTTAATACAGTTCCTCATGTTGTGGTGACCCCCAACCATAAAATTATTTTTGTTGCTACTTCATAACGGTAATTTTGCTACTGTTATGAATCGTAATGTAAATATCTGATATGCAGGATGTATTTTCATTGTTACAAATTGAACATAATCAAAGCATAGTGATTAATCACAAAAACAATATGTAATTATATACGTGTTTTCTGATGGTCTTAGGCGACCCCTGTGAAAGGGTTGTTCGACCCCCAAAGGGGTCGCGACCCACAGGTTGAGAACCCCTGCTCTAGACCAACAGGAGAATCATTTTCAGCTTCTAGCACTCAGGAAGTTTCCACAACAGCTTTTGGTTCCACCCTTTCCTTTCCATAGCCTGGAGCCTTATAAATTTAAACCTGGCTTCCATAGTGCCCTCTTGGTCAGACTCTTCCTTCATTCCAGCTCACTCTGACAACAACTGTTAAATAATTTTCCTAAAACTCTTTTTTATCATGTTATTCTCCAGCTTAAAAAGTTACCAAAGTTCCCTATTATCTCACATTAAACCCCTTAAAGCCCTATCCCATCTGTGTTCTCAACCTCATGTCTCATCCTTTGCCCCCCATTCAACCAGTTTATACGTGGCCCCTCTACCCAGTGTCTTCCCTTTCTCTTTTCAGCAGCACATTTCCTCCCCTTCCTTTCAGATCTTAAAATTATTTTTCAAACACTTCATTCAGACTACTCATTCCTTACCTAATTTCTTTTTGGCACCACTTGGTTTAAGCTACATTCATTTAAACATGTAGTTTCTCTGTTGCTTTCTGTGGTCACACTGTCATTTCCAATGATGTGATAAAAACCATGAGAAAGGGCTCCTAGATTCTGTTGCTTTTGATGCACATCTTTTTCCTTCTCCTCCAAAGTAAGATACCAATTATTTAACTGTTACTTACCATTTTACACTTTATGGTGGGCTTTCATTGACAGTCTACCAGTTGACCTTCAAAACTTTGTGAGAAAAATATCCTCATATTATAGTTGGCCAGATGGGGTTTTGAAAGCTAAGGGATTTTTCCAAAGGCTCACAGTAAAGAGGTGGGAATTCTGAGACACAAACCCTGGTCTTTGAATCCTAAATTTCTCTTGTTCCCACATCATCTTCCTACTCTGAATACATCAAACTTGATAAGTGTTGTTGATAGACTGAAAATGCAGATTATTGAAGTGGCAATGACACCAGGCCACATGTAAATAGGGATTAAGCATTTTGAATCCATGCCCTGAAGACAATGAGCATTCACCAATGTTTTCTACTTCAAATTGACTTAAAGTTTACAGGAGAAAATACTCATAAAACCTAAAATTAAAAAAAATAAACACCCATATGCTTTTAAAATAAAGTTAGGTCTCTCCTACGTTAGATGAAGAAAAGAGGAAAGACCTAGGAGACACACTTGGGAATTCTCCAGATCATGTTGCTTGAGTCAGGGGTTCAACAGAAAGTCAACTTTAAGTTACTAGTAGACTTCGCACTGC